TAGACAAGAGCCAGAAAAAGAACCCCTAAAACAGTGATTTTCAAAGTTCACTGCACATGAGAATAACCTAAAATTTGAAATTCCAAAGATTCAGGTTACACCTCTGACTAATTACCTCAGAATCTTGGGGATAGGACCCAAGTATCACTATTTTTGAAACCCTTAATGTGAAGCCTATACTGAGAACCACTTGTCAAGGAGATTGACCAAATCCTCACAGTATGAATGGGGTCCTTGAGTCCACCACTGGGGAGGAACATGTTTCTGATGGCAGAACTGGACCTGGGACCACTCACCATACTGAGGAATACAAACTTTACAAATACTGAGGCAGGAAGAAGGGGAACTGTTCACTAGATCAGAAGCAGGTTATGAGCAAGAGAAATCTGGGATAGGAGTGGCCTTGGGCCTGGCCAGCATAGGGAAGGCTGAGAACAAGCACCAAATAATAAAGCAACATTTGGATTACAGGCCAAACAGCTATAAATGATGACGATGCTGCACAGATGAGAAGCTTTATTTTCAAGGCCAAACTCGGAAATTACTTTGATTTTTGCCAGTCCTGTGCATGTGGGGAACTGAGAAGGCTCACAGGAGAAGAATGGGCAGAGCATGGACCAGCCCCTGTCTTCCTCACCCTCATTAATCTCACACCTACTTCACTACCCAGGCAAAACAAATATCTTCCCTGAAGGCCTGAATTCTTAATTTAGCCCTGTCGTCCTGTCCTGCCCACCCATCCTAGATAGAGAGAGCATGTTTCACCTCACAGGCATGTGCAAGTTGAGAAGAGCAGCAGCCGCAGGCTGTGGCCAGAGGCAGCTGCACCAGCAGCAGCCTGAGTACCCTACATCCAGCAGAAACTTGGCCAACGTTGATTATTCAGGGCACAGTGAGCTAATGTGGGGATTATTATTAATGTCAGCCTCATTGCTTCTCCTCTTCCCTGTCTACTTGCATTCTTACTCTTCTAAGTTATTTTTTGGGTCAATCAGGACAGGTGGATGGGTAGGGAGAGCTGCCACATGACAGAGATAGATGAAACAAGGAGACACTCTAATAATTTTGCCGTTTGTCAGTCCCTTTAGTTAAAACCAATCAGAATACCCAAGTAGCACTTACTATCATCCATGTTGTAGCATGTATCAAATATTTCATTTCTTTTTCTGGTTGATTAATATTTCATTATATGGAAAGATCATATTTTGTTTATTTATTTATTATTTGATGGACATGGGTTGTTTCTACTTTTTGGCTATTATGAGTAATTTTGCTAGGAATATTAATGTACATTTTTTGTGTGGATGTATATTTTCAATTCTTTTGAATATACACCTAAAAGTAGAATTTCTAGGTCACATGGTAACTCTGTTTAACATTTTGAGGAATAGCAAAACCATTTTCCAAACTGTAAATCACTTTACATTCTCACCAGAAATATATGAGGATCACAACTTCTCCACATTCTTGTTAACACTTAATCACCCCCTTTTTTATTATAGCCACTCTAGAAGGTGTAAAATGGGATTTTATTGTAATTTTTATTTCCATGTTCCTTGCTAAGGATGTTGAGCATCCTTTCATGTATATTGGCCAATTATATATCTACTTAGAGTAATGTATATTCAAATACGTTGGCCATTTTTAATTGGGTTATGTGTCCGTTTCATTGTTGAGTTATAAAATTTCTCTATATATTCTACATATAAGTCTGTTATCAAATGTCTATGATTTACAGTTTTTCTCTCCTGTTTTGTGGGTTGTCTTTATTTTCTTGAGAGTGACCTTGGAAGTGTAAAAGTTTTAAATTTTGATTAAGTATAATTTATCTACTTTATTCTTTTGTTGTTTGTGCTTTCGGTGTTGTACCTAAAATAATATAAATAAAAAGCATTGCCTAATCCAAGATCACAAAGATTTACACCTATATTTTTCTATAAGAAAAAAATCTAAAAAGCATAAATATTTTTGGTTTCTTATAAGAAAACTCTTATGGGAATTCTATAGTTTCATCTTTTACATTTAGGGATGTGTTCCATTTTTAGTTAATTTTGTATATGGTGTGCCATAAGGGTCCAATTTGATGTTTTTTAAAATTTGAATAGCCTGTTGTCTCAATTTCTTTCTTTTTTTCTTTCTCTCTTCTCTCTCTCTCTCTCTCTCTCTCTCTCTGCTCTCTCTTTCTTTTGAAAGCCTATTCTTCTCCCATTGTATTGTCTTGGCACACTTTTTAAAAATCAATTGAACATAACATAGTAACTTTACTTATAATGGCCACAAATTAGAAACAGCCTAATGTTCATCAACCAAAAAAATGTATAAGTATATTATAGAATATTCATATAATAGGTTACTACACAGCATTGGTAAGGAGGAAATGTTGCTACATACACAATAGACATATCTGGCAGATCTTACATTGAGCAAAGAAAACCAAAAAAAAAAAAAAAAAAAAAGAGTGCTGTTGCATTAATCCAATCTATATAAAGTTTAAGGACAGGTAAAACTAATGATGGCAATAAAAGCCAGAATATAAATTTCTTGGGAGAATGTGATGGTATTGACTGGGAAAAGTCATGGGAGGTCCTACTGAGATAATGGAAAGGTTCTGTATCTTTATCTGGACAGTGTTTATATGAGTGTAGACATATGTAAATTTGTATAGGCCTGTCTATATTGCTGGCTTATCCAGCAGTTTGGAGGATTCAGTCACATCCTCTGTGATACTATAGATTACCTAGCTACATTTATAGGACAGCCCAGGGTAGCTCTGATTGTCTCAAAACATAATTATTCTCTTAAAATAAAAAGCAGTACATCTGCCAAAGCACACTGCTGACCACAGGGAATGATTTGACATAAGGTCTGAGAGTGTCCCTGGATAATTACATTTAATCATTATTAGGCAGTTCTACCCATATGCCCAGATTTCTTCAGAACAACCAGCATTTTGTTGTCTTTGATAAAGGTAATTTGTTAATCTTTTAATTACATAATTTAATTTGTTTGCTTTAGATAAACATTTTGACAAAAAAAAAAAAAAGAGGGAGGAAAAGCCCTCTGTTTATTCCTTGCGTTATGATGTGAGGATTTGGCAATAAGTCTACTTTGTCTATACATAGGTCTCGAAGCTGGGGGTAGAGGGAATGTGTTACGATTCATGCCACATGATATATTAGATGGATTGTGCTCTGTGAACCAAATAAAATAGAGTATCTCAGACACCCAAAAGCCAGAGGCAGCTACTATGGAGATGTCAGATGCCTATGTTGGGAGCTTTTGGCCATGTTTTTCTGGTTTTTGTGGGCAAGAAAAAACTACAGGGGAGTTGTTTAGACCAGTATGCTGGACCTGTATCCATGACACTTAATTCCCTTGTCATTGAAGACTGTGAGACCACTGATGGTTTTGGTCCTTAATGCGAAGGGTGTTTAGGGAGGGGAGCATGCCTACTGAGGCTAACAGTGTAGGCCAGTAAACAGAATAACACAGGAGGGGGCACCTTCAGCTTGTGCAAAATGGATCATGTAATCCACTTTCTTCCAAATAAAGGAATGAGAAAGAATGGCCCAGTTGATTGTGGGGAAAAGTGCAAGCTTGCCAGACAGGATTACTTACTCCATTGCCATTGAGGGACTTTTGAGGGGAAAATTGATGGCCTCTCAAGATTTACATGCACGCTATCCTCTCTTCTGACTGGAAGTACACACTTAGGACATTCAGTACTTTGAGAAGCCACCTGAGGTTCACCTTGGTATGAGGTTAAGAAGTGAGCAAACCAACTCTCACCCCACCTTTCTCTTTGAGCAGTGAAAACTCTTTGTATCAATTACTTGAGTCTCCCTTATTAAAATTCATCTTTGTAGAACACCATCTCCCTGCATACTTAACCCATTCTCATTTTGCATAACTTTTCAAAGCCTTCAGAATGGTTTGATGGACCTTAACTCATTTAATTCTCCCAAGAGCTATATAAGTTGGGTGAGAAACATGGTATCCCCCTTTTTCGGATTAATTAACTGAGGCCAGAAAATATTAAGTGAATCATCCAAGCTTATAGCTTGAAAGAAGAGCCAAGTAAGTTGTCCAAATATCCTATGTTGTCAAGATACTGTTCCAGTTTTAGCACTGAAATTCCTGTGTCCTGGGGAAGCCTTTTATTCCTGAGCAAACCTGGATAATTTGTTACACCGAGTCAGGATTAGAACCCATATCTCCCAACTCTCAGACCATTGATAGTGCTACTGCCGTAGGCCTTCTTTATTCCAAGAACTATTATCTGAATAATGTTTTTCCTTCTCTATACCATAGTGCACCAGGAAATTTATTCATACTGGGTCATTTTCCCCTTCTACTCTGCCTAGGACAGAAGCAATAGCAGTTAGGTGTCCTCAAAGGTACTTTACACAATTTTAACAAAAGAGAACTGAGCTTCAGGTTTCTCAGCCACAAACGAAAGATGATATCCCTATATTGCTCACTTCACGTGGATGTTGTGTGAAACAAATAATATTGGATGTAAAAATGCTTTTTAAACTGTTAGTAGCTGGTCACATGTGAGAGATTGTGGTTATTCTCTATCCCCCGGGTAGAAGCCAGCTTATTGTTTTATTATTCCCTTTCTAGATAAGCAAGTGATATAGCCAACAACTGTGTGAACTTTAACCAATTCTTTGGCCCCTGTGCCTCAGTTTCCTCATTTTTGAACTGGGGCTAATAATCATCCCTGCTATTGTTGTTTTAAGGATTTAATTAATTATTACACGTAAAGAATTTAAAAGAGTTGCTGACACATGGTCGAGACTATATAGGCTTCCCCAACCCCTCTATCTCAAAGTCAGAGACAAGATTAAGAGGACACAAAGTAAAATAAAATAAATTGTAAAAATAAATAAATAAAAGGATTAAGAGGAGACATGAACCAAGAAACATGGAAGCTACTTTTTATCTTGCAATCTCTTTCCACTAGCTCCCTTGTTTTCCATATTCTGTATCCACAGCCCTCCCATCATGGATTGCCAAGAAAATGAATACTGGGACCAATGGGGACGGTGTGTCACTTGCCAACTGTGTGGGCCTGGACAAGAGCTCTCCAAGGTAAGACCTGGTGATCAGAATATTTTTTCTGTTACATTTAGGAATCATCTGGCAACTGAGAGGGTCCAAGATTAGGAGAGCCCCAACTGTGTCTAATACAGTTCAATGGGCAAAATATGGAATCCAAAGATTATGACAATAGCAGTCATAGCTCCAATCAAGAGTCAGCCTGGCAAGGTGAGGGTCAGAGGAGGGTTCCATGAGATAATGGGGTATCTCAAAAGGAGATGTGGAATGCAGAGTCATAGGGAGGCTGTTTGGCATTAGGAAAATCTGTTAGCTAAAGCAGATCCCATCCACTTGGGGTTCGGGAGCCAGGTATCAGGTCTCAGGAGTGGGAAAGAGAGAACTAAGAAGGTTGAGGAAGATGTTCAAGGGAGGATTAAGGGATGGGGAGCTAGGGAGGGTCTAGTGTCAGAACAAAACAACCAGCAAAGCAGGCACCTTTTGTTCACCCCTAGCTTGCAAAGATGGAGCTGCAAATTTTTTTTTTTTTTTGCTTCAGGTTCCTGTTGGTCCCAGAACCTGGGGGTGATTTTAAATTTAGGCTGCAGTTGGGAACAAAAAGTTTGGGAGCAGACAGCCAACAGATGTTTTCTTCACAGTCATATATATATATATATATATATATATATATATATATATATATATATTTAATTTATTGAGGTGACATTGGTTAATAAAATTATATAAGTTTCAGGCATATAATTCTATAATACATCATCTGTATATTGTATTGTGTGTTCACCACCCCAAGTCACATCTCCTTCCATCACCATTTATCCCCCTTTTACTCTCTTCTACCTGACTCCAGCCCCTTTCCCTCTGGTAATCACCATACTAATGTCTTTCACACTCACATCTTATTTTCTGCAGTCATTCATTAATTCAGCCATCACTTATTGAACACCTTCAAAGTGACACACATGGTTGTAGGCACAATACATATGGTAAAGATAAAAACCTTTGCCCTCATAGAACTTACTCTTTAATTAATGAAACAAACAATGAGCTAGATACATATATAAATAAATGAAGGATTTAGATCTGGATGCATGATGAGGATTAAATTAGAGTGATCGAATACAGGGTGACTGGATGGCTACTTTAGATGTGGTAGCAAGGGAAGAACTTTCTAAGGAAGTGCCTTCTAGGAAAAGGATACAGCGAATGCAGAGTCCCAAGGTGGAAATAAACTAGGCATGTTCAAGGAAGAGGAAGATTAGTGCAGCTGATGAGTGAAGGGTGAGTGAGAGAGTGGTACACAATGAGATCAGAGGGAGGCCTGAGCAACACTATGTATAGAGTTCAAGTCTATGAGGAGAATTTTTAATTTCTTTTCTAAGATGCAGGGAATGCTTTGAAGAGTTTGGGGTTGGAGAGTGACATAACCTGCTAGCTGAAGGAAAATAAAACAATTATTTAACCCACCCCTTTCTACATCCCTATATGAAGAGACTGAAGCATAGGGATGCCAAGAGATACAAGCATTTAACTCTAATTTTACCTCTTTACACAAAACATCTGTACCATAGTGGGGTGCCTACATGATTGATGAGCATTCTAGGACCAAGGAAAGGTCATCAGCGGTTAGATCATGCTGGACATTAGGATGAACCTGATGAAAATTTTATTGCTTTAACTTTATAATTTTTTAATTTATTTTTTTTCATTTATATTTTACATTCAATATTATCTGGTATTAGTTTCAGGTGTACAGCATAGTAGCCAATCACATACTTTACAAAATATTTACCCCAACATTTCCAGTACCCAGTTGGCACCATACACAGTTATTACAATATTATTGAATATATTTCTTATGCTAAGAAATATATTTTACATTCCTGTGACTATTTTGTAACTACCAATCTGTACTTCTCAATCCTTTCATCTTTTTCACTTAGTCCCCCCCAATCTCCTCCCCTCTGGTAACCATTAGTCTGTTCTCTGCATCTGTGAGACTTATTCTATTTTGTTTGTTTATATTGTTCTTTAGATTCCATATATATAAGTGAAATCATATAGTATTTGTCTTTTACTGATTTATTTCATGTACCTTAATACTTTCTAGATCCATTCATGCTGCCGCAAATGGTAAAATTTTATTCTATTTTTAACATTACTTTTATTGTTAACACTATTACAGATGTTTCCATTTACCCTCTTTGCCCACCTTAACCCAGCCCCTACCACCCTTCCCTCTGGCCATCACCACACTGTTGTCTATGTCTATGGGTTATGCACATATGTTCTATGGCTAATCCCATCACCTTCTTTCTTCTAAGACCCCCTCCCTACTCCCCTCTGACAGCTGTCAGTCTGTTCCATGTATCCATGCCTCTGTTTCTATTTTGTTCATCACTTTATTTTGTTCACTAGACTCCACATATAAGTGAGATAATATGGTATTTATCTTTCTCTAACTGGCATATTTCACTTAGCATAATAATCTCCAGATCCATCCATGCTGACACAAAAGGTAAGATGTCTTTCATGTGTACGGCAGAGAAGTATTGCATTGTGTGAATGTACCATAGCTTTTTTATCCACTCATCTACTGATGGGAACTAGGGCTGTTTCTAGATCTTGGCTATTATAAATAACGACCAAGTAATATTCCATTGTGTATATGTACCACCAATTTTTTATCTGCTTGCTTATTAATGTACACTTAGGTTGCTTCTATATTCTGGCTATTGTAAATAAAGTTGCAGTGAATATAGGGGTGCATATATTCTTTCAAATTAGTGGTTTGGGGTTTTCAGATATATATCTAGAAATGAAATTGCTGGATCATAAGACAATTCCATTTTTAATTTTTTGAGCAACCTCCATACAGTTTTCTATAGTGGCTGCACCAATCTGTATTCCAAGCAACAGTGCACTAGGGTTCCCTTTTCTCCACATCCTTGCCAACACTTGTAATTTGTTGATTTATTGATGATAGCCATTCTGGCAGATGTGAGGTGATATTTCATTTCAGCTTCAATTTGCGTTCCTCTGATGATTAGTGATGTTGAGCTTCTTTTTATATGTCTATTGGCCATCTGTATGTCTTCTTGGAGAAGTGTCTATTCAGGTTCTTTGCGATTTTTTTTTTAGTCGGTATATTTTTTATTCTATTTTTTCTTTTTATAGAATTTATTGGGGTGATACTGATTAACAAATTTATACAAGTTTTAGGTGCATAATTCTACAACACATCATTTATACACTTTATTGTGTGTTCATCACTCCAAGTCAAGTCTCTCTCCTTCACCATTTGTCCCTTCTATACTGTTCTCCAACTTCCCCCATACTCATCCCCCTGGCAATCACCAGACTGTTATTCATGTTTATGAGTTTTTTTCTCTTTTTTGCTCTATCCATCCACCCCTCTTCACCCAGCCACTCCCCTGACAACTGTCAGCCTGTTCTCTATCTATGAGTCTGTGTTTATTTTCCTTGTTAGTCAGAGAAAGACAAGTACCATATAATTTCATTCATATGTGGAATCTAACAATCCTTTTCAAACTTTTAATTGGATTGTCTGTGGTGGGTGTTTTTGGTGTTGAGATGTATAAGTTCTTTATAACTTTTAGATATTAACCCCTTATCAGATGTATCATTAGCAAATATGTTCTTTCATTTAGCGGGTTGTCTTTTCATTTTGTTGATGGTTTCCTTTACTGTACAAAAACTTTTTAGTTTGATGTAGTCCCATTTGTTTATTTTTTCTTTTGTTTCCTTTGCCAAAGGAGATATATCAGAAAAATATTTCTATGAGAAATGTCGGAGATTGTGCTGCCTATGTTTTCTTCCATGTGTTTTATGTTTTCGAGTCCTACATTGTCTTTAATCCATGTTGAGTTTATTCTTTTATCCACTGTAATAAAATGGTCTTGTTTCATTTTTTTTATGTATCTGTTCTAATTTCCCAACACCATTTAATTAATAGACTGTCTTTACCGCATTGTATATTCTTGCCTCTTCTGTCGAATATTAAATGACCATATAAGCGTGGGTTGATTTCTGGGCTGTATTTTCTGTACAATTAAATTGTATATCTGTTTTTATGCCAGTAGTATACTGTTTCAATTACTGTAGTCTTATAATATAGCTTGATATCAGGTAGTTGATACCTTAAACTTTGTTCTTCTCGATTGCTGAGACTATTTGAGGTTTTTGGTCGTTCCATATAAATTAATTTTTGGAATATTTGTTTTAGTTATGCTAAATATGCCATTGGTACTTTGATAGGAGTTGTGTTGAATCTGGAGATTGCTTTGGGTAGTATGATCATCTTGATGTTAATTCTTCCTATTCATGAACACGGTCTATGCTTCTACTTATTTGTATCTTCTTTAATTTCTTTCTTTAGTGTGTTATAATTTTTCTACTGCAGGTCTTTTACCTCCTTGGTTAAATTTATTTTTTTATGCAATTGTAAATGAGATTGACTTCTTAGTTTATTTTTCTGATAGTCCACTATTGGAGTATAAAAAGGCAACCAATTTCTATATATTTATTGTGTATACTGCTACTTTACTGAATTGATCAATTTTAGTACTTTTTAGTGGAATCTTTAGGGTTCTCTATACAGAACATCATGTCATCTGCAAAGAATGACAGTTTTACTTCTTTCTTCCTAATTTGGATGCCTTTTATTTCTTCTTGTCTGACTTCTGTGGCTAGGACTTCTAGTATTCTGTTGAATAAGAGTGGTGAAAATGAACATGCCTGTCTTGTGTCTGATCTTAAGAGAAACACTTTTGGTTTGTTGTTTTTTTCTCTATTGAGTGTGATGTTAGCTCTGGGTTTGTCATATATGGGCTTTATTATGTTGAGATATGTTTCCTGCATTGCCACTTTGCTGAGAGTTTTGTTTGTTTTTTTTATCATAAATGGGTGTTAAATTTTGTCAAATGGTTATACTGCATCTATTGATATGATCTATGATTTTTATCTTTCATGTTATGTGATGTATCGTGTTTTTTTTTATTTGTGGATATGGTACC